AAGCAGTGGTATCAACGCAGAGTACTGTGTTAGATTTAGTAGTTTGAGTTCTAGCCACTGAAATAGCTCTGATATTCAACTGAGCAGCTGAAGCATATGCAAGTACCATATTCAATACAGTGGGAGTTTTTGGGCGAAGCGAACGCAATATCCGCAATGCGAGTGTCATACAAGCGCTCACGGTGGAATTTCGACGAGATTTGCGATCTTTAGATTTTGGGCAAAATTCATGAGGACGTGTTTTCATAGGCTCGTAACTCGGTGATTTTTACAGACTGGAGCCTGATTCATGCACCATTCGGTAGCGCAGTTCCTAGTAACTTTGACTGAGAAAAGCAAGCAGGCAAGGTTGCTGACAGATACGCGAGAAGTGCGGGCCAATTTACGCGCTTTCGTGATGCAGTTACAGTCACCTCACCGTATCTCACCAAAAAGACCCTGTAATCCTCAAAGACCACGATTTTCGTAAAGAGCGTGTTTGAAAACCTCTATAAGCGAAGTTTCCTTACAATTCAAGAGCATGAACATTTTGACCAAAATCCATCGGCCAGCTTCAGAGCGTAAAACGAGAAAAAATGAAATTACTTGAACATCTTGGAAAACTTGCACTTAAGGGTTATCCGACCTGCTGGTTACGAAAATCACATCTGCTTAGCAAGAGAGCTTCATATTTTAGAGTTACGTTGAGAAAAATTTAGAAGGACATGATTTTTCCAGAATTCACCAGCCCTTCTAACTCCTTTGAAAAGGAGTGTGCGGCTACTTTCTAGCGCTCCATAATCTACAAAAGAAGTACTATCGAAAATTTCTTTCTCAATATACTGGGGGCAATACGCGCTGCTTCACACCTTTGCGAAGAGACGTCCGCAGAAAGTTTTGAGAATACTGAAATCGAGATATCAAGGACATTCTGCATACCGAAAGATTTGCCTTGATGAGCTGAGCACAATGCATTTTTCGGATTCAGAAAATGTCCACTCCAAAGAAAGTTACGGCGAGTAGAATCTGGAAACGAGTGATTTTTCCAGAATTTACCAACGCTTTTTTCTCTTTTGAAAAGAAGTCTGCGGCAGCTTACTAGCGCACTATAATGTACAAGAAGAGCACTATCGAATGGTGCTTACTGGAAGCTTTCAAGTTGGATAGGCGCTGCGTTACATACTTGCAAAGGGACCTCCTCAGAGCAATTTGAGAAAACTGGAAACAAGATATAGATGACATGACGTATGTCGAAAGATTCGCCTTGACGAGATGAACACAGTGCTGCTTTCGAATTTAGAATATATTAATTCCGAAGGAAGTTATGGCGCTGCATAATTTGCGATAATCCGGAATCGCGAAATTTCTGGAATTTCGCGAAATTCCCGTTCTGTGAGTGGTATTGTACATTGCACAGCACGCGCGGCATTCCGCGATATGTGCTTCTCATGCGATTTCCAACCATTTCCCTTTGTCTTCCTGCATTTTGGGACCCGTCATACTTCGCCGAGAAAAGCCCACTTTCACACATATCCATGCAGAATGAGCTGCCCAGTTTCACATATATCCATGCAGAATGAGCTCTTAAACTATACCTGCCCTATTTCTGCTGTGCTCAATAGAATGTGTACGTAGCCTCTGGAATCAGCACACTGAATGGTCCATTTACACTAAAATTCCAGGAAAGAAACTTATATCCCACAACTAGGCACATCCGTATATTGGAAGATGCGCCTCGCCGAGCTGAGTTGAATGGTACTCTTATATATAGAATTCATAAATTTTGAATCAAGATAAGGTCTTTTTTTATAAAAAGTTAGGCGTTGCGCGACAAAGTTAGGTGACTTTTGCCGCTTTTCCGCCGACTTTTGTCGCGCGACGCGGCAAAAGTCACCTAACTTCGGCGGCGCCGCGTAAGTTAAGTGCCGCCGCCATTTTTTTTCACAAATTACGGGTGGTATTGTATATGTATTCACGCAATCTGCGGTTTTTTGAGCATCGCTCAAACTTTAGGAAATTTTGATTTTATGAAGCAAGAAATGGCTACGTTTGGATCAAAGTTTATGAATAGCTACCTCTAATCGACTGTAAAGAAACTGCAAGAATTCGTTTTAACTGTGTAAGATAAGGGCAACTCTTCGGAAAGATGTCTAAAGCGTCTATGGACACTTGTTTAGGCAAAGGCTATCAACGATCAAATGATTAAAAACACTTTTGGGACATCGAGTACATTGATCTCATTGGTCTTGATTCACTACACTATCTCTTTCGCTTTGTTCTTGTTGTCCTTTCGCAACGATTGACTGTACATTAGCCTTTATCATGCTGAAATTCGGTACATGTATTTGTGAAACCATTTTGATTTTTTTATATTTTTGATTTTTGCGCGAAACTACAACATCTGACCTTATCTGTACAAAGAAACATGCAAAAAGATACAGATTTACGCATACGCCAAGTTCATATCGCAAATTGTTTGTAACAAGGAATTTTCCATTGTGATGTTTGAGTGCTTAAGTTTTGTGCATGAGCTGTCAGTATTCTATAAAAGGATATTGAGCTCTTGACCGTCTCCCAGTTAGGCCATAGCCTTTCATTTGTCATGAAAGGCTATGGCCTAACTAGGAGACGGTCAAGAGGCGGGATTTCTTCGGCTGTCACCAACACAAAACTCTAGTTTAGTGCTTTGCGAGTCTTCAGAGATTACCAGATAAAGTGCTTTGCGAGTCTTCAGAGATTACCAGATAAAGTGCTTTAGCTTACTATTTGTTTGAGGTCACCATATGCTAAGTTATTTTAGTTGCAGAAATATTTACGAATTTGTTCTGAAATGCATTTTCATGAGTTTTTGACCTTCAAAATTGCTGTTTTGAATTTCTTCTAGAGTATCAAGATTGACAATACATGCAACTGTTAAAAATATTTTCTTTTAATTTTCATATACTTTTAGAAAGTTGCAGAACACTTATTATGTGCTATTTGGTGTCCATTTGGCAATAAAAATCGCGCCTCTTGGCATACATCCGGCCTAACTGTGCTGCAAGTATTGTGATTCAAGATGTTTGAATTCATGGCCTGTGGGACTAGAGCTTGCTTGACTTTCTTAAATCGGCTCTCTATAAGCAACATATTTGTGCTTTGCTCAGAGAATGCTTTAGGGTACTCATCATTACCTCTCTGTTTCAATTACTTCCACTCCTGTATGCCATCCTCAATGTGTGAGTCTGGGACTGTTTGCATGAGCGGTGTAGACGCCGGATCTTGCTGCACTAATCCTGCACAGAAACGGTAATTATTCGCGAGGAAATTGATTCCAGTTAGAAGAGATGAATTATCAAAAACTTAGGTGTCCATCACCTACTGCTCTAAACATACAATGCCGAAAATTGCGTGGTGTTAACTGGTTGGTCACGTTTTGCTTTTCTTTAATCATAGTCGGATCCTATTATTTTAGGTGCAATAATGATTTTGACTGCCATGGAAAATCTACTATGCCATCAATTTGCTGTCCCACAGGCTGTAATTACAATATGTGTTTGCATATGGGTTTTGAACCAGTTCCACATGTCAGGAGGCATGTCACAGGTAAGGCACAAAAAATTGTATAACCTTTGATTGCATCTCGACATACCATCAGCTCTCAGATTCGTGTGGAGGCGGTTGCAGGCTTCCTTGATTTTCAGGATAAACTTGTTGAACCTCCACGTTATAGTATGACATTGTATGTTGTACTCTATCGTTAAGCTTACCCTTAAACTAAAAGAAGTCCGCAACCCGCCGTTACACAAATCTGGGAGCCCATCATTGTTCTGTGCTCCAGAGTGGTTCTCCCAGGTACCATCCAAGTGGCTGCCTTTCAATCGTTGTGACAAGTTAGCGCAAATTTAACGCGCTTATTAGTTGACATGTCGAAACGAAGGGGGGGGGGGCTTAGAAGTCATTTCTCATAAAGGAACTGACAAAAGAAGCCAGGCCTTTCGAATACTGCGAAAGTCTTCCGCCCATCTTGCAAGCTTGTGATTACGTTGAAAAGTCTTTTTGACAGACTTACTCGTTTTCTGCAAAATTATGATTTTCCAAACTTTGCCAAGCAGGAACAAATCCACGGCAAACTTTTGAAACCCTTTTTGACACCACTGCACACTTTTCGAAATGGCGAAGAAAGAATTTGGGATTGATAATGCCCCACCGCTCGTCAGGGTTCGGCGATCCTTTTGATTTTGATGTTCTTCGCATTTTTTGCTACAAGAGGTTGAAATTTTTCGTGCACGTATTAGCTCAGAATGGGTGCGTAGCAAGTGGTACATAGGCAGCCGACTGCTGCCGCAGTCAGCCGCCAGAGCTGGCGTCAGAGCCGCCGCATATGGTAACATAATATATAAATGTATTAGGTTGAACCGAAAGTTCGTTCGCACCATATTGAAAAAATCATAACTTCTTTGCGTCATAACGATTCTGCGCAATTTAAGTTTTATTAGAAAGCGTAAAGCATGTAGTTTCCAATGGTCCCCTGGCGACTTTCCAGCGTGTTCAGATTGCAGAGATAAAAATGATAGAACGAAAACATCCGAAATTCGGAATTTTTGAGAAACAATTCCAAAAATCTAGAAACTGCGCGATAAAATCCAGAAAAGCATTATCCTGATTTTCCTTAAATCTGATTACTAACTGAGTTAAGTTTGTGCTGATCGAACTCTTCCTTCGAAAGTTATGATTTTTTGAAAAAAATGCCGAAAAATTGATTTCTCAGGAATCCTTAGGAAAATGATTTTTCTGCTTTTTTTTCAAAAATTCATAACTTTCAAAAGAAGGGCTCGATCAGCACAAACTTAACTCAGTCAATAATCAAATATAAGAGAAATTAGGATAATGGCTTTTCTGGATTTTATTGCGCAGTTTCTAGATTTTTGGAATTGTTTCTCAAAAATTTCGAAATTCGGATGTTATCGTTCTTTCATTTTTATCTCTGCAATCTGAACACGCTGGAAAGTCGCCAGGGGACTATTGGAAATAAAGCTTAAATCACGCAAAATCGTCGTGACGGAAAGAAGTTATGATTTTTTGAAAATGGTGCGAACGAACTTTCGGTTCTACCTAATATATAAATATATATAAATTTATATAAATATATATAAATAAATAGTTATGATAATACACTCTGGAAAGCTTTTGACTCTTTCCATCAGTCTATTGATTTTTGCATATCCTCACTGCGGCTATAGTGACTCGCTGCAGGAGATGCAATCCTTAATCGTTAGTACGCAGAGAAGTTGACTCCTACCCTCACTAAAGAAAGCTGACTCTGCAGATTGTATATGGCATCCGTTCTGCAATATGTAGCAGCACCTTCTCCAATTGGGTTTGTGTGCTAGTACAGTCCTTTCGATAATCTGTTCAGCTCTTTCTTCGTCGCCGGTGGATGAGTGTCCCGATCCTTATACTCTTAACGTGCGATGTGCTGTTCGAAACCCTGCCAGCTGGTGTTTGACAGACGCAGAATGTCCATCAGTAAACAGTGCACATCCACGGAAGTTTGTAATGCGATCTTATTATATATCAATCAAATTCAAACAATTGATTTCAGATGCTGTGCAACCCTCTGTGGCAACAATGTTTGTGTTGTCAAGTATGGCGACAAGTGGATAATAGCCTGAGCAACTCGTTCATTTATCTGCTTATACGTGTCTGTATATTTGCTGTCTGTAGATACGTGAATTGCACTGCCATTGTAATGTATAGTATACTAGCTGGCTTACCCGGCTCCGCCGTATCCGGACCAAACTTGGCACACATACACTTCGAGCCCCGGCGGGTGTCACAGTCCACTTTTCGTTATCGATCGATGTCGATTTTACCGATTTTTATCGATTTTTTTGCAGAGTTCACCTACAGGGCTAGGAGTTGGCACAGGGGGGAAGTGAGCATGGGGATTCCGAATACAATATTAGTTTTCAGAATTGTCGATTACTTTTATTGATTTTATCGATTTTTTGTAAATTTTGACATGCGAGGCTGGGATTTTGCACAGGGGGGTAATCGAGCATGGGGATTCCGAATACAATTTTAGTTTTCAGACTTGTCGATTACTTTTATTGATTTTATCGATTTTTTTTGTAAAGTTTGACCTGCGGGGCTGGGAGTTTGCACAGGGGGGTAATCGAGCATGCTGATTACGAACACAATATTAGTTTTCAGGATCGTCCATTACTTTTATCGATTTTATCGATTTTTTGAAAATTTGAGCTAGGGGGCTGGAATTTGGCACAGGGGTGTAATCGAGCATGCTGATCACCCCCCTTGGGAGTGATCAGCATGCTCGATTACCCCCCTGTGCCAACTCCCAGCCCCCTAGCTCAGACTTTGCAAAAAAATCGATAAAATCGATAAAAGTAATCGATAATCCCGAAAACCAATATTGTATTCGGAATCCCCATGCTCGATTACCCCCCTGTGCGAACTCCCAGCCCCGTAGCTCAAACTTTGCAAAAAAATCGATAAAATCGATAAAAGTAATCGATAATCCTGAAAACCAATATTGTATTCGGAATCCCCATGCTCGATTACCCCCCTGTGCCAACTCCCAGCCCCGTATGTGAACTCAGCAAAAAAATCGATAAAAATCGATAAAATCGATATCGATCGATGACGAAAAGTAGCCTATGACACCCGCCGGGGCCCGAAGTGTATGTGTGCCAAGTTTGGTCCGGATCGGTTCAGAAATGGAATTTTCTATTCGGAACATACGTACACACAGACATACATACAGACAGACAGACAGACAGACAGACATACATACAAACAGACATTCAGCTTTATATATAAGATAGCTAATCAAAATTTGTATAGTATATCCTAAATATTTCAGCTGCATGTTTTTTCATCTTTTTTCATTCATCTCACTGTTTTGAGCGTTACAACTTAGCCTTCAACTTGTTTGAAATGTCAGTTTCGGCTGTTCCCAGTGGTTGTTCATGTGTTAACTGGCGCCATTCACCCTGTTAAAGAATGAAACCATTTAGATTGGCATAAATGTGGAGATGTCTTGCTCTTATTTGTAGCAAAGGGCAAATTAATGTAAAGGGTTCGTAACGAAAATTGAAGTCGGGATTGGACAATCATGCCATAAAACACAATCTATACCCTTACCATATGCACATCATCTCCTTCTGGTACATGTACACTCAAGGTCTTTTTGTGTGCCTATACGTTGTTAACAGAAATTTCCAGTTTTGAACCGGTGAAGACCAAACTTGAAGACTAAATCAACGAGCAGCACAGAAGGGTTTAAAGAAGTGGAGGTATAGAGAGATGCTCTACAAATTGGGACGCAATGTGAGCTTTGGCATAATATACTGGCTGGAATTGAACGAAACTTACTAAGCTAGATAGTTATTTTTAAAAAGTAAGTCGAAGATAGCGCAGAAATAGTGTTCTCCAAAATGTAAGTAGAAGTAGAAGAAAATATGGAATTGCAAAACGCCTAGCGTCATTGACGCAAATCCCTAAGTTACATATACGTTGACTTACCGAGGCGAATCACTTTTTCAAGGGAATTTCTATTTTTGAGACAACAACATCATTTCTTTTAAGTTGTGGAGTCTACTGCTACATCGCGCCGTTACTTTATTCATTTCAACCAGGTGAACAATTGCGATTTCTTCAGCTTTCAGAGAATCTAGCAAAAATGTGCAACTTAGTTCGATTCGGAAGCTCTTGCCGTTTTCTGGACCTATTACAAAAACTGGTTGGATAAGGGTAAGCAAGCGCTTTGAGCACCATTCGACGCAGCTTTCCGTACTCTTTTAGCAGGCCTGGACGAAGCTGAGTTTACAAAAACGCTGATGTTAAAACACTATTTTTTTGTTCTGTCACGGAGTTATTAAAAAAATACTGAAAAGTCTCACCTTGGTTCTATCATAAGGGCAAACAATGCATCCACATGCTTGCTAAAGCAAAATCAGGGCCGCCTTTAGATAACACCTGGCAAAAGCCTTAGAAGTACGCCTATGTAGTGCCAACCTTCCACGAGAAGCCGCAAAGGCGACGTAAGAACAAACTTGGCGCAGAAACAGACACAGACTCACGACAGACATTTGATGTGCGTTTTTTTTGAATCACAGATGTTCCAGCAAACAGAATTTTTGTTGCTTAGATGTTACCCTTCTTTTCTTCATAAAGTATTCTCACCATAGGAATATACAATATTGCACCACTAGAGTTTTGTTTCAAATTGCAGCGCTGACTGCCTGACCGCGATGACCACACTAACACTGCGTGCAGCAGTCCCAGCAACTGTTGCAGGTGCTGCAGCTCGGGTGTGGTGCGGAAGGCCACAATCCCCAAATATTGTGCCTTTCGAAACCTCGTTGCTTAGAGGCAGCGTCCGGGCAGAAACGAAACTGTAACGTACAGGGGTTCTCGGCCTGGTGGAGCTCTTGCCCAAGTGGCATTGCACCACTTTGCTTCTGAAGCGAGAAAACCGCTTCGAAAGTGGCGACAGAACCGCCCCGGCGACGTGCCCGCCCCTTCAATCGATAGCCAGAGTACGTATGTCGAGCACGCGACTCTGCATCTTAACCTCGGCAGCAAGTGTTATTATTCAAAATCAACTGCTTCTGGAAAAGCCCTTTTTCGACATCTTCGTTCTCTGCAAGCTGCATTTTCGGAATCAACGGGAAGAATAAGGCCAAGTAAACGAGAAAAATTTTGTTCGAGATTTTGTCCGGGCTATTGGGTATACTGTGCGAGACTCTTGGGTAATTGTACCCGAGTTAAACTTACTTTTTGGTGGTTCAGTGGATTCTTCGAGGCAAACAGACAGTTGAGAGCGAGAGGTTTGTTGGGGCGGTTATTGCCAACGTAGAGTAACAACTGAAGGGGGGCCAAAGCCACCAAAACAACATGCGTGGCCGCGCCCCCCCCCCTCCCCCCGTGAGGAGACATCATCGTCACCGATGATACTCCGGGGAGCAGGGGGACCACAAAAATTAATACAATAGTGTGTCAAAACCACAGTATGCATAATATGTAATCTTCGATCGATTTCTTCGTAGAGAGTGGTTGGCGTGGGGGACGTTGCGGCTTGACGGTGTGGTTGGTGGCATGATGATCGGCTGTGGCTTGATGGCTGCGGCTTGACATGGATGGCAGGGCTAGGCATTGAACGGCTGGTGGCTTGGCGTGGATGGCGGAGGGCTTGACGTGGATGGCGGCTTGACGTGGACGGCGGCTTGGCGTAGATGGCGGCAGCGACTTCTCAGTCGTTCCGCGGCCTCTTCTGCCCGTGCGGTTGAGGCCTTCTGCGATTACACAGCAGCGAATTATGGCCGAGGCCACAACCGCTACAGGTAAAATCACAATTGTCCTCATGCACGGGCTTGAGACACTTCAAGCACAGTCCGAGATTGGTTGCTCGGACTGTGCGGGATACGGGGTCGGGAAACGTGTACACCGCCCCGAGATGTGTTGATCGCGCTTCTCATCGAATGTGCAAAATGCACAATTCGACTTCGGTTGAGTGCGATCAAGCAGCATCTGGAGGGCTGCTTCCACGGCGTCCAGGCGACGCAGGCGACTGTCGATGGCGTCCAGACGGGGTGTCAGGAAATGCACCAACGTCGACACATCGCAGGTATCGAGCTCGTCCAGGGCAGCATGAATGTCGGATGTTAAGGACATTTTTGGGTGAACATCTCAATTTTAGCCCTGTATTTATACGGTTTCGTATCGGACCGCCTCTTCAGGATTTTTTGAAGATTCCGCAAGTTGCCCACGGGGCCATCGTAAGTTACGCATGGTCTGCATAATAGCTAGAGGGGTAATACGTGCATATCATTGAGTATGGAGTGTGCTCATATCTTTGCACATTTTTTATAGCCCCTCACGTTGCTTAAGGCAAATGTGGAGTATTTTTATGATATGAAATGTTCTTTATGTGAGTAGTTATTGTTTTTACAACTATGTACAGTTCTATTTTGTCGTGTTGTGCGTTACTTTGCGCATAGTATTTTTCTTAATATGTTAGATGTCGCATTTATGATGGTAGTAAGGAACCACCATGCAATTTTTACTATGTATAACAGAACTATAGGCCCTGCGAAGTAGGTGAGTGCTGTTATAGCTAACGTAGTACCTAATGCTGCAAGGGCGATTTTCCAATGTTTTTTAATCACATTGAGCAGCGGAGTAAAGTCCGGAATGCTTATGTCTGTGAACCATTGGTGCTTTAGCGCGACAATATGCGAGTTTTGGTCGAATATTGAAGAGTTTGGTAGATGTATGAGATAGTGTAAATTGCCGCGTAGGTCAAATCTTGTCACCTGATCACTACAGTAAACGTTGCAAGTTTCGTTCACTATTGATTTGTCGAAATTTAGCAGTACTTCTGTAGAATCGCTGTTTTCGCTGCAGATGAAAGTGAATTGCTGTGTGTTGCTGTGTGTGCAGTGTATTGCTGTGTATTGCTGTAACCGCAATTTTTGATGGTGATACACAATTTATTGACACCTTTGCGCCATGTTTGCAATTATAGCACCCTGTAATGTTTGAGGCATGCACAATGCATTGCTGATTGCTCATTAACCCTGCGGAATCTTGCAAGATTTGAGATTGCAGTCGCAATACCACCTCTTCTTCGTTTGTAGTCGCTATGATT